CGAACGGGTTAAACTCCGCCCAGTCAAGTGAATTAAATCAAGTAGTACATATATATTAAAAAGTTGTTGATGCAACAACTTCATATATACACTAAATTGAAAACGAATATTTGATTTACGTCCGCTATCCACAAATGGTCATTCAAAATGCCGATAGCCGCTGGTTTATCAAATCCATTTCTGGCATCCAGCAATGTTTTCTTGTACTGTAAATCCTTGTCAACCATGTTCACGCTATGGTGGCAGAAGTCTGATATTAAAACATTACCTGCTTTATAAACACACATCCCTATACTTTGAAAATGGTCCCACGCGTCACATCCATATATACCACTGAAACTTGTGATTGATTTATATGTATTTGATTTTTTCTTTAACAGCTCTTTGCAATGCAAGTCGGATGTGTTGCCCTTACAATATAATACGCACAGATACGATTCTAAAATTTGGATACTACATGGTTTCTGAAAGGTGTCTTTAGAAAATGACGCTTGGCCAGTGACAATTCCATCCATGTTCATCCATATGAAACAGTTCTTATATTCATACCATGGTTTCCCGAAATAAGATATAACGTAAACTACTAACAAATCATTTTCAGAAATGCAAAAACAATGCAGCTTTCTACCAGGTCCTCCTATATTTGCAAATCTTACCTGGCGTCTATTTGTCAGTAGTTCATGATAAATGAGTTTTCCTCACTGAGAATCAGGACACATGCATTTTTTAAAACGACAAAATCACTAACGTTATCTGCATAGACACTGTCGTCTAAGGAATGGTTAACAGTTTTAAGCAATTTACCGTTTGCTAGTATCCAAGCATCCGTTTCAGAGATTGGAACTATTTTTTTAACAAGCGTAATATCCTGCTTTAGTTGGAAACTAATCGGATATTTATCTGTAACTTCATCGGATGAGCTTTCTATTAAATCATCTTCCTGAAAATTTTCTGCATCGAACCTTTCAGTCTCTGAATCTTCAGGAAAATCTGTCTGTGTTGATATATCAGAACATGCTGACAATGCTATGCGTCCGCGAAACATTTTCCACTTGGTGTTTTAATTAAATTTCCTATTGAAAACTCCATAGTCGGTGTGAAAGCAGGTATTGGTTGATTTGCAAATGTGTTGCACTTTGAGGAGCATAAGTTAATTTCAGACAAAATATTCATAAGATGACTAAGCTCATACTCTTCAAGCTTATTTGCCTCTAATTTAGTTATTTCAGTTTGTAGATTATTGACGTTAGTTTTTTGTTTGCATAAAGATGTTTGATAGCTTTCGAATGTTTTTCGTACTTCTGACAATAGATGTTTCTCTGTAAAGTCGATTGCTGCCTTCGTTTTTATTACACATGTTTTTATTTCACAGTTAAGACGTTCCTCGTCTTGTAAAAGTTTTTTCTGTTCTGGATGTCCGAAAGCTTATCACCCAGTGCAGTTAGTTGGTCAGAATATTTTCCATTTAACAACAGAACCTCCATTTCTTTCCGAATATCTTCCTCTGCATCTTGCAATTGACTCAGGTCATGTTTTTGGTGTAATTGCCCGAGGCATTTAAAACACATGAAGTCCTTACAATCTTTGCAAAATATCGTGTATTCCTCTGTTTCATGGTATCTACACCGAAGTGGTTTCGAAGATTTACCAATCTCTTCTTTTATTTCACGTTCTAACATAACATCCGCCATTACGGATATTGTAATTTAATATGCAAACATGTCAAAATATATACACTAGACTTCAGTATAGAAATAGGTCATTACTGATTTTTATTGATTTTAAATGTAATGTTAGATATAAATAACTTCTTATTTGTAATCAAACTGAACCAAATTAGTTGACAAACGGGAGATCAGAAATTTATCCCCTGACGCAGAATTAACCAGTAAACTTGTTATGCAGTTTGTTTATTTGGTAGTTCGCTTTCTTATATGATTTTTGAAAATAAGAATTATTCTGATTAATTCAAAGGCGGGAAAAGGAAAACAATGGATAGGGAAAGGGGGCAACAAGTTAACCATAGCATACAGGTGTATAAGAAGTAAAACAGTTTAAGTGTTATCAACAAAGTAAAACCTTAGTTACATGGACATAGCCTCCATACCCATCACCACCACCACCGCCGCCGCCAAGACCACCACCAAAATCACCATCACCGTGTTCCATAAAAATAAAAATAAAATATTAAAAACTCCTCAATATCGATATATGCCTCCTATTCTATGATATGAATTAATTTCTGTATAAGATATATGGAAACAGGTTACCGACAAGCAATTCTTATTCAGAATCTACCTTTGAAGTTTCAATATCGTCGATACGGAAGTCTGAGTAGGGATATTTGAGAAAACAACGATTTTGATCATGTGCTTCTCCTTGCTGGAAATAGATGATGGTTCGGTACCTTCGAAACAATACAATATTTGGTGCTAACAATTTTCAAAAGATAGAAAATGCGATATTTTTACTAATGTCAATCGTTTTACTTCCCTTCGGAGCCGTTACCCCGTATCATACATAAGCAAAACAATATATTTGCATGTGGCGTTCACCACGTTTTAAGTGGTGTTTAAGTGGTGTTTGTGGAAAATTCTAGTAGAATAGTATTAATGCCCAAGCCTCAACTTTCAACTTAAATAAGTGTAAAATTTCTTTATAGTAAAATGACTGAAAGGATGTGATTCATTCATTTAGTTTTTTCAGTGTTGGATCAATTAGTGAACAAGTAAAAACATCAGGCAAATAGTGTACATACAAGAACAACTATTCGACTGGAACCGACCATAAATTATTTTGAAATTAAGTTATATCTTTTCAACTCTTTTTCTAAATCTTGTTTTGTACTCATTGATATAACTTTGCACCTTTTCTACCTCCAAAGACATACATTTTGGAAATAATGTCTTTCAAATAATCTATAAGTCATCGATCATGCATATTTTGATTGTGAGGGTATGCATTTTTTTCCTTGACACACATTTTTTTTTTATATTTTTAAACTCAATGTCGTTTTTATTATATTTTGTCTTAAGCTTTAATAGAAACAGAGTACTTCTCACTTCCGCTTTTTAAAATTATTTTTTGAGAAATAAGGAAACGACAATTAAAAAATTACCCTCACAAAAGACAAATGTTCGGTGCCTGAATTATGAAAAAAACTTGAAAAATCTAGACTTATTCCTTCGGTTCACATACTCTGAAGTATTGTCATCCTTGACTAATCAACCTATGGACAGTCGTTCTGATTATGAGTATGTGCTTATGCATGTTGTATTTGTTGCTAGCCGTTTGATAATAAACAAGGAAGATTGAAATTTAATCGCGTATTCCTACTATGCTATAAACGTCACCGTTTTTGATAATAGTTGAACTACACAATATTTTTTAGGTGCAGATGTTTTAATGGGACATCATTTAACGTTGATAAACGATATTCATATTTTATGAGTAGAGTAATTGTTACATTGGTACAGCGTAAAATTAATCTTTCTAGAGGTGAGTTGATCGAAAGGAAGGTATCTTGCAAAAGTAACATATATAAATATATAATCATATTTACATTTACCGTGTGTACTTGATTTTATATAGGACATTTATATCATGATAAACGATTATATGTTATCAGTGTACACAGGCCAGTATGCCTCATTTTGAATAGGAAAAAGATCGATGCTATTTTTACTAACCGGTCTCAATAAGTTCTTGCGTGTCTTTTGACAGTTATTGTTATGTATGTGCTATGTAAAAATAATGTTCGTAACGAGTATAATTCATTCAACAGGGCATTTCCTATCCTCATTTCCATACTATAAACGATTTTTAGAAAATCACTCTGGAAATAATTCAATGCATGTTATAAATAAAAGCAAGTGACGTTTACATTTTGCCTGAATCGCGTTTCCACCATAAAACCATATAAAGCTATAAAACCAAGTCTGGAATATGACAGAAGTTTTCACTCGTTCCGTTGATTGATAACGTGTGAATTTGTCGGTTTTTGTGGACTTCCCCTTTTAGAATGTACCTAGGAGTTAGGTATTTTTGTAAGACTTTTTTTCTAGCACAGAAATGTGATCATCACTTGCTGACAGTTCGAATATTTTATAATGAAAAAAAAAACAGCATTCAATTCTTATATTTCAACACATGTATGTAAACAAATTTTGAATATAAAAGAGCAACTTTGTTAAAACACAAAAATTCGGCAGAAACAGTCGAGTGATGTGAAAGTAGTATCATGCCACGTGATATCAATTGTAAAAAACTAAGTCCTCATAAAAGAAGAAAAAAATCAATAAATTGAAAAATCAATATAAAAATCAATATGATAGTAAATTCATAATTGCTGACATTTCGTGTATTTTACAATAAAAAAAACACAGTAATCAATTGTTATATTTAAACACATGTATGTAAACACATTTTGGTGACTTGGTTTTGTTGACTTGGGAATGGTCTCTATAATGTATAAATTTCGTAATAATTTTTTTTCAGCATTGCAGTTGTGCACTACCATTTTGATGGATTGATGTTGTCATAATATATTTCAAAGCAGATTTTTATGTTAAAAATGAAGATGGATAAAAGCGCTGCTCTTGAGCTCACAGCAGGAATCCCGATCCGAAATCCGCGGAGATATCTGAATCCTGAGGAGAAATATTACAAACCGCAACACAAAAGGGGGTTGGGGGTTGGGGGGGTTGGGGGGGGGGGGGGGGGGTGGGTAAGAAAAATCTGGATCCGATTCCCACGGATCATAGTCCTCCGTGGGAATCGGATCCAGATTTTACTTATGAATTGCACTAAACAAAGTGTAACTGCTCTTCGGAATTCGCATTCAGATCGGAATACCCTGTGTGTAGCTGATTTTGGTTTTCCATGTACGTGTAGTAAGTTTGTTTGACATATCCTTTCTTTTCCATTACATTAGTATTTCACATTGTGCAAAAATATCATTTTGTATAATTTATGCAATATTCAATATTCATTTGTTTTAGGGTAATAGCGACTAATTGGACTATATGTGGCACATGTGATTTTCGCCATATAACTAAACCATCAGTATTTTGGTGTTCCGAGTGTGACGAAGGCCTATGTCATGAGTGCACTGAACATCACAGCATCTCCAAGGCAACTAGGGGACATAGTACAGTTTCTATCGATGAATACAACAAACTACAATCAACAATTCTAGAAATAACACAAACATGCAAAGACCACAATGAAAAAATTCAAATATACTGTAATAAACATGATTGTCCATGTTATAAAAAGTGCATTGTGGAGAGTCACAACGAGTGCAAAGAATTTGTTGATATTGACGATGTTATAAAAGATGTTAAATCATCAAATGCGTTCGTGGATATCGAACACACCTTGGCAGAAATTTCTGAAAATATTAAAAGAATTAGAAAAGACCGCGAAGAGAATCTTACATCAATCAAGGAAACAAGAGAAATTGTCGAGTCTGAAATAAAAATGACAGGAATTTCAAGTCTTTAGAAATTTTTTTCAATTGGCACAAAGACAATAACAGCAGAATATTCGATACTACTTTATTAGAACATCTCTATATCTGGAATAATAGATAATAATAATAAATAATTTGTTAATTAAAGTGTCACTCACTTATTGATTGAAATAAAAAAATAATTCATACGCAATATCTATAATACTAGAATAACGATGTCCAATTTGTTAGCCGTCATGGCTTAAACACGACGAAGCAAAGAATTCAACTTTATATATAACTAATATAGGACAATGGTGTTGATTCAAAATTACACCATTCCAGGTCCTTTTGTTTTCAACATAGTTAATATTGCCAATAATTAACAAGTTCGGGGTCAAATCCGATACCGAAACCAATAGTATATGTTACATGTATGTATGTTCTGTATCTTCCGCCTTTAATAAGAGCACTACCATGGGTCATAGTGTAAAGGAGGACTTGTTACACACTGTAATATTTTGGGTTATTAAATATTGATATTTTATCTTAATTTGAATTCGAGTTTGTTTTAGTTTATGTTTGTAGTAATAATAGAATGACTTGTATTGATATACGTTGAATGGACCATTTACTCCCGATCTTCAATCATACTATATTACCAAGTAAGTGCTTACAAGTAGCAAGAAGCAAAGTTAATACAATACAAATACAAAGTTTTTTATTGTCAATTATGACGCCCAATAATTTGAGCAGTACAATTAAGTTCAATTTCATACAAGTGATTACATATTGATTACATTGATTATTTAACAATTAAACAAAATCAAGTCTTTCTCAGCAGATTAATTTCTACAGGAATAATATGTATAGTTTTACAATATGATATAGATCGACAAACTACCGGTGACTAAACTGTATCTAGAATTAAATTTCTCTCTTTGAATAAAGTACACAATAATAAACTTACTTTTTTTATTATAACATTATGCTCAGATGACATTAACCATATTAATTTTGATTTATTTGGGAGGCTTTTAAAGTTTTTGTTAAGTAAACCTTATTTAAGTATATTAATATATTCAAATCTTTTATTATTTAAAACAGGACACTGAAGAAGAAAATGAAATTCATCTTCAACTTCAGTGTTGCATAATTTACATATAATATCCTCCACTCGAAGCCCAACGTATCTGCCTCTTTCAATTTCTAATTTATGAGCACTGACTCTGAACTTAGTGAGCAGTCGCCTATCATCCTCATTCAAAATTGATAAGTATTTTTCCATACAAATATTTTCTTTAAATAATCTGTAAGTTCTTAGTTTATTTCCATGCTGTTTATTTTGTCTATCATTGTAAAGTTCAGATTTCCAAATACAAGAATATTTCTGTTTTAATTTCCGGTAAATTAGTGATTTTAAATCCATCTTTGAATTTTTAACGAGTTTAAGATCTATATCAAGATATTTCATAAGAATAACAATACAATTATACCAACTATTTTTGTTTAAGCTATTTAGTGATCTAGAGACATTCAGAGCTTCAGAGAGAAGGATATCATCAGACTTTAATGCATATTTATAATATCTAAAAATATTTAAAATTACTTCAAGAAAAAAGGATATCTTACCATTTCACCTAATACAGCTATATTTGTAGATTTCCTACCTAAACCCATAGAAAATTTACTGAATTTGACATGAATACTTTCTTGTTTCATTTCCTTGCAGAGTTTAAATAGATTATGTTCAGTTTTATTTAGTTTTATTTATTACTGAAGCTCCCCATATTTCAATCCCATATAACAACACATGTTTCACAGTATGATCAAATAAATGTGAAAGTGTGTTAATTTTAGGTTTATATAAGTTAAAACTTTTTTTTATTTTTAAATAAAGCTTTCAATCCCCTTTTATATAAATTTTCTTTAGCCTCTGTAAAGCTTCCACTTGCACTTACATAAATTCCTAAATATTTATAACCCCTAGCCCTAATAATAGGTACATTATTAACATTAAATATTTTTCTCATACAGTTTTCCTGTTTTATTAAACACTACTGATTTAGTTTTCTTTATATTTATTTGGAGCCCCCATTTATCACAGTAGTTATATAGTTTATCAATACACTTCTGTAAACCATCAGCTGTTTCTGACATCAATACTAAGTCATCTGCATACAATAAACAATTAAGCTGTAAGGAATTTAAAATAGCAGGTTTACAGGTCTCATCAAATGAGTCAAGGACATCATTTATAAAAAATTTAAATAAAGTGGGACTTAAATTATCCCCTTGTTTGACTCCTATGTTAGATGTAAAGTTTTCAGTCATAGAATATTTGTCAACCTTTACACAAAGTTCAATAGTATTATACATATCTTTTAGAGTGTTATAAAATAAATCACTGACTCCAATATTTCTCAGTTTATAAAAAAGTCCATCATGACTAACAGTGTCATAGGCTCTTCTTAGGTCAACAAAGCATGTAAAGAATTTTTTATCGCCTTGTTGAGTTTACTTTTCTATAATAGTTCTCAAAACTAAATGATGATCACTGGTGCGCTTGCCTTTACAGAAACCAATTTGTTTTTGTTATTGTTATAAAACTAAGGTTGCAAAATTGACCTTTGAAAGCATAGTATTGTTGTATGCACTTCTCAGGCTGGTCTCCTCCATCGTAACATACGGGTATCTGAGTCTGAAGCCAGCAGATAACGGACAGGGAACCAGTTTATGTATTTTTGGATTTTAGGATCTGGGTTTAAGGTTAAATTGGGAACAGGTGTTGTGAGCATGCAAAATATATGCGTTTTTAAACAAATGATCTATTTGAAAAATCCCATTGAGTAAAAAGAGTTTGCAGCAGTCTTCAAAAAACTTAGTTATGAATCAAATATGCAGGTAGATTAACATCTCTTTGACTAATGTAAAATGAATAACATGTAGTTTGTGAGGATCTTGATGGGGTCAATCAATTGTTTATTCTTTAACTGTTTTGACCATTTTTTCTGTTCCTTATTTATTCTTTATATTTCAGCACCCAAATATTCTTTATTTATCTTTGTTGTTGGCCTTTTTTTTCTATTCTTTATTTTTTAGCCCATTGGTCCACTATTCTCTATTCTGTAAACTCCATCCAGACTCTTATATGAAGCACTATGGCGTGTACGGATGTGAGTTATAATTTCTTAACTGTAATATAACCTTAAATGCAAAGTTCTGTCACATTGCTGATTTTTTTGGGGTTAAATTTTTATTAGACTTAATTTTCCAAATACAAGAAAGTATGATAAACGACAACAGGCTTTATCTCAAAACCCCAGTTTTCATACAAAGCTATATAATTTCTTTATTATCAACTTATACTTTTTATACCGCTTCGTTTGGGACAAACTTCATTTGATTAATTGGATCTCGTTTAGAAGATTTTATCCTAATATGTCAAATCTTTACATAACGGCGAGATGCAGCTGATAAATTTAGAAAAAAAAATACTTACTTAAGATACAATAAACAAAAAAAAAAACACGTGAATCATTGACATGACTTGTATTTTCATGCAGGTGTACATACTGATGGATGGTTTCATTAGCGACTAATGTCCAGTGGCAAATATTTCATCCGTATCACGGCGGAATTATGTTGATGTAACACACCATTGTACCTCGAAGAAAGTAAAGCACAAATCGTGATTTTCAAACTCATTATAGAGGTACAAATTTGGGGATTGGGAAGTGTCTAATCAACGATGTCATTTGCTAACTTCCGAGTGGAAATGAGTGTCATCATGGTCACTTATGACGATACATACTTATATATTCTTTCAGATCTAAAATAAATTTCGAAAAATGAACTTCATTCGAAATCTATTGGATAGTTGTCTCATTTACACATCTCCTTAATTTTATATAGAAGTAAAAAGAAAAAAAAAAGAAGAATTATATATCATACATATTGAATATCAAAATCTAGCTGGGAACGATAATTGAAGAAACATGAAATTTAATCCAATACTGCCAACACTGTAAGTATTTATGAGTTAGATTCAGAGAAAGATTGTTTCTTGTATAGAATTCAGTCAAGATCTGTTTCGAAACTTGATAGCAATATAAATTCTACATTCGATTTTGTTTTATATATATCATATATTTGTTACTGTCTTAACTGATTGACTAAACTGTTGTTGCTGTAAACAGGATTAACAACATCAGAAACTTAAAAGTGACAAAATGACTTTCTCTAATTTTTTCACTATTTTAACATTTCCGAACCTACTGTGAAAAAAATTGTTCTCCTCACTTGTGAAATAACTGTTCTCGGCAAATGATTGATCAAAATTTAATTATTACGTCAAATTTCCTATTGTGACGTCATGAAAAATGGTGACTATGCCTGATGACGTCACATATAAAGAACACAACTTTCTGCAAATCTTTAAAAAGGAAGGATGAAAAACAATAGAGAAACAGATTCCACCACTATAATTCGTGTATTACGATATTTCTCCATTCTCAACAGTTAACTTTTAATTATTTAAAAAGCTCGGCAAGCCTCGCGCTTTAAATATTAAAATTATACTGTCTCGAGTGGAGAAACACACTTGTTGCAATGGTGGAATCTATATTTCTTAGACTTCGGAATCGTATGACGGGTGATGAATGCATGCCAGGGACCAGTTTACTTGTTGGCGTTCTTTTTATTACTCATAGGGGTCGGGAGATGAAAAGGTTTACGGAGAGTCGATAGAATTTCTAAATAAGAACTAAAAAAAGCCTACCATTTAGTTGAAATTTTTATATAAGTAGTATGGATTACCAAATAAATGTATACATTGGCTGACAGTGTTTTGTCTATCAGCTCATAGACATAATTTTGTCTAGTGACCGTGACGTCATCAACGTTTTTTCATGATTTACGCCGGCTTAAAACGGAATTTAGAATTAAATTATAAGGAATGACCATGATGACTGTAAAATTTTTTCTGTCTATTTGAAATAACATCAAAAATGTGGTGCACACTTTAAAATAACCCGCTACGCGGGTTATTCAGTGTGCACTACATTTTTAATGTTATTTCGAATAGACAGAAAAAATATTACAGTCATTCCTTATAAATAAATTCTAAATTCCGTTTTAAGCCGGCGTAAATCATGAAAAAACGTTGAATAAATTAAACATATATTTAAGGAATGACTGTAATATTTTTTCTGTCGTTTCGAAATAACATCAAATATGTGGTGCACACTTTAAAATAACCCGCTGGGCGGGTTATTCAGTGTGCACTACATTTTTGATGTTATTTCTTCATAGACAGAAAAAAATATTACAGTTAATTCCTTAAATATATGTTTAATTTATTCATAACTTTTCTATAATTATGTTCTCTGCGCGATTTACAGCTTAGCATATCGTAAAGACACTTGTTATTTTTTAAACCATATTTTGGACTTAGATTTTCTTTGAGTTTTTTTTTGGGGGGGGGGGGGGGGGATTGCTGATTGCTGTGTCATTGAGATGTACGAGCTTCTCCTTTAATTCACTTCAAGATCT